ACACACAGTATATATTTATGAGATCATGTGAAAAACATGCTTGCTTTTCTCACTTGTTTTAGATAAATATCTTATTGTTTCCGTAGAAAAGTATCCTTTATGTTCTATTATTTTTATATAAATGTTTTTTCACATTTTACCATCAAACCTGATTAAACTGAGCAGAAGGTAAAACCTGAGGAGACAGAAGAGCTGAACWGTAACACTGATGCTTCAGCCTGTAACAGTTCATCCGTACAAAAGCTGTCATTTATTTAGCAGCAGGTTCGATTCATTCAGWAAAGTCTAATTAGTAAATTTGATGTGATTATCTTCATGTCTTCAATKTTCACCACTGTTAGAAACAAAGCTGTATTTTCTAAAAGGCAGTAAACACTTCACATGTCCCGGCCTTCACATGTGCTTTTCTTTACCTGAAGGGACTGCACGAGAACAGAAACTGGAGCACAAATCCCACATCAACAGTAGCGCCCAGTTCGGACGCTCCTCGCTTTAATCTGATTTCCACATCAAGGCTGAAGTCTCAGSGAGGATGGTGAACGAGCACAAAGAGGCGTGAAACGTGACTGGATTGTTTTGTGGGACTGAAGGAAACCTGTTTACTCACAAACATTTCAAAATAAAACTCCTGCTGTTCTCAGGGGAGTTCGTCTCCASTGCTGCTTGTTTAGGAGCAGAAGGAAAACACAAATCAGACCGTGTTGTTCTGATTCCCTGAACCAAACAGGGAGACGATGAYGACGACGACGACTTTCAGTGAGGACAATGAGTTCTGACTAAAACGTTCTCCTTTCATTGATTTTTACAGTTTCCKGTTGAGACGATGGCGTGTTTGCTGTTAGCCTGTCAGAACCACTGCTACATGGACCAGTCCGGTCCAAAGCCCGGTGCTGTTCTGTTCACATGGCAGGTGTGGGTCGGGGATTAGCGGTAGCTGTGTTTGGGTGATGTCCACATAAAGCTAGCAGCAGCAGCAGCAGCAGCAGCAGCAGCAGCGTGTGTGTGTGTGTGTGTGTGTGTGTCAGTAAATCTCCAGGATGTCTGCAGGCGGACCCTCGCAGCACTCAGTGATTTATGGAGTGGGACAGGAGCTTTCTGAACGTTCAACCATCATTTTGACTCAAATCAAAAGTCGCTCTGCAGGACTGAGATTAAGTTCTCCCAAAAACTCTGCTGTGGATTTTATGATACATTTAATAGCCTGAGTGCTGACTCAGAAGGGACGGAGATAAAATGATGCTCCTGCTTACAGAAACTGTTTAATGCTGTGCTACGTGATGATTCTATAAAATATTATGATATTTAAAGAAGGTGASCCAGTTACCTCATCCTTTGTCCTGTTTCAGCTTTTCTACAATCAAACCCTCAGCTGAGACACAACACTGGGCCTTTAGAGCTTCGACTTTTACTTTCCACAGAAACCTTCTGTCATCAGACATCTGCTTCAGTTTGGTTTTTATTCTGCTACCTGTAGCTTTCAGCTAACTTTCTGCTACCTTTAGCTTTCAGCTATTTTTCTGCTACCTTTAGCTTTCAGCTATTTTTCTGCTACCTTTAGCTTTCAGCTATTTTGCTGCTACCTTTAGCTTTCAGCTATTTTGCTGCTACCTTTAGCTTTCAGCCATTTTTCTGCTACCTTTACTTTCAGCCATTTTTCTGCTACCTTTAGCTTTCAGCCATTTTTCTGCTACCTTTAGCTTTCAGCCATTTTTCTGCTACCTTTAGCTTTCAGCCATTTTT